CCCATGTCTGATCAGGTATAAAATTGTTCAGACCTAAATTGAATTCTAGGCCTTCAGGAAAGTGAACATTCAGGTCTTTAAAGTCAATATGTTTATTCTTCTTAGGATTTTGTGAATGATTTGTTTGACAATTCTGGATATTATTTATTTTAAAAATATGGATTTTCCTTAAAACTTTAGAGGACATTATTAATTATATCTTGCTTACCTTTATATCACATCACCAGAAGACTAGCAAATCAATGTGGGAATTGGCTTTTCAATAACTAGGTACAAGAGAACAAATATAAGTTTCAAGTCCCCTGCCTATTATTTTTGCCACTTTGTAATGTGTATACAATATTGTTTATAGTAGTGTTATTACAGTTGTTTGTGACAAGCTGATCTTTGAATTCCTTAAGGACTACTTCTCCAAGTATTAGAATTGAAGAAAACCTACTCTGGTAGTTTTTTAGTGCTTATGCAAATCTGTTAAAAGCTATAGACCTTCCATATAGTATTTGGGGAGACATTCCCCCATTGATGCTAGATTAATTCCCCTGGATTAAATCATGGAATACCTGCAATTAATTTGAACTGAAATCATAAAAGATAATTTTCACTCAATCCAATTTGCAAGATGACCAGGTAGCAGTTTGGGTATGAGAACATAGTTTGTGGAAAAAATGAAACTATTTCCAAGGCTCTAACAAAGAAATGTGAATCATCACTGTTGTGGTCACTGAGTGATATCTACTCCTCCAAGCCTTTTCATTCCTTTTCTTTTTTGCCTCTCTTTTCCTTAGAGAAAATCAGATGTCTCTCTCCTCAGGCTTCAGGAAAGTATGCCAAGGACAGATTCTGAGCTAGAAAGTCTCGGGCATGTTTGCATTCTGACTAGGCCCCCTTCCCAGGAAAGAATGTTGCTCATCCCCCAGCAGCCCAATTTACGATCTAAGTCCATATTTTAGAGGGCTAGCTTTGACCAGGTTCCAGGGAGTCGATTCTGCCTAGTATGAACCCACTATTTCAATAAGCACCTCTCTTTTAACTCAGGAATTGCACTCACCCTAAAATAAAGAGGAAAAGAGGTGGAACTCAGGTACTACTGAGTATTGTGATCATGCCCCTTCTCCTGGCTGTGGAAAGAAATTTGATGTAGAGCCTCTCAACTTGGTGACATTCCTAAAGCCTAGAGTCAGTCTTCTCAAAATCTGATGTTCCCTCCAATTTGAGACTGCTAGACACCCCTTGGTCCCCTGTCTGCCTGGAAAGCCTGGCCCAGAGAGAGAGAGGCTCAGAGGGGCTGACTATGCCCTGTCTACATTTCCTTCCTCCTACCCTACTCCTCCTACTAAGATACATTCAAGGGCTGTGTGTATGATTCTGGGAAGGACTTTGTAACCTGAGGATTTGACAGAAAATTCCTTGCTAAATCTCTAGATATTCATCTGGGGAGGGGTATAAAATCTGGGAGAATCCAGGGGGTCAGGATGCTGCATATTAGATCTGGTTCACAGGTTACATTCACTAGGTGAGCATGAGGCATTGGTTTCAGATCTGTAGTAGTTGCCTTCAATATTACCACAGTTTGCTTGCCCTGCTGGAAGTCATTCACAGAAGCCATTAAGCCAGCTGACTACAACTTAGATCCAGGAGAGAAAATGAATTACACAAAGCTCTCAAAGGCTATTCAGCTTGAAGCTGAACTCCCACAAAAGGAAGGGCATGTGGAACTTGAGATCCCTCAGAGAGAAGGTTTTAAACTTGAGAAATGTAGGTTATAACTATAATGATGATAGCTTTAGTAGCAGCAGGATTAAGAACAGTTACTATTTATTGAGAAAGAGGAAAAGCTGAAAAGAGAAAAATGTGAGTCAGGAATAATGATCCCTGCAGTTGGAAGCCTGGAGTCCCTCCTCACAGGCTACAAAATTATCCATCCTTTGAGTTTCTGGCTGTCCAAGAATGAGCCCGGGAAACCATTTATGACCTATTGAACCAACTGTAACTCTTGGTGAGGAACAGACCCATACTGAAATTGCCATGAATACTTATAAAAAACAAAGTGCCCCATCCCCATCCCTGTAAACCATTATCCACCTCAGCAAGTCTGCCTCTTCTTGCCTCTAAGTCATCCCTTAGAAAGTTCCTTACCCTCCTTGGTGAGGCTAGGGCAATGCAACACCCCTCCATGAAGCTCCTTTCTCTGCCTTCCCCAATCTCCTCATAGCCCCTTCCAGAGACCTCCCTGTAGGAAAGTTTAGGAAAATGTCTCCACCATCTATCTGCTTCTTTGGCATCCTCTTGTCTTCCAGTGTGTAAATATATATAATATTTTATATATATATATATGCATGTGTATATGTGTGTGTGTGTGTGTGTGTGTGTGTGTGTGTGTGTGTGTGTGTGTGTGTGTATATATATATATATATATATATATACTG